AAAAACAAAATAACATATTTTTAAAATAAAAAATTATTAATTTGTAAAAACAAATAACCAATTTGTCTAATTCTGCTTTGGTTTGTTGAAATAAACTGTTCTAGTGTTACCAACATAAAAAATTTCACTGACCAATCATATTTCAAGGTCAAGTGTTATGCAAAAAAACACAAAAAATCAAAACAAATCAAAAAATCATTTATAACTCAATCTTTTATCTATAAAACTACATTTTACGCATTAATAAAAAATTTTTTTTGCTAAATTTTGATAGTAAAAAAAAAATTGGTTTAACCTAAATTAATAGCAAAATCCAACAATAATCTAGCAGTGAAATTTTTTAGGTTAGTAATACTAGGACAGTTGTAATAAAGGATAATTTCTGTGTACAGTAGGAACATCCCAAATATGGAAATGATTATCTCGATCATGCATATTGATTTAGCCAATCAATATCATAAATTTTTATCATGTGAAAAATATCACATGTGATTAACCAATAAAATCGTAAATTTTTATAAAGTAAAAAAGAACGATATTTAAAGTTCAAAATAACTGCTACCAAATATTATTGTTAAAATAAGCAAGCATGTATTTATTAATTTAAGTCAAGATTATTAATTTTTTCAATAGTATTTTATTTACAAAACCTCAATAATCTATATGCAAAATTCTGTCTAATTTTCTACGTTCAAATCTATGTCTAATTCTACATTTACTCAAATTTCTAATATCTTACACTATACTATATATCGTATATTAAATGAATATTATTCTAATAAGAAACCTTTGCAATTTTAATACACATCATGCATTTATGCAGTATAAACCTCATATCGTATCTTAAACACTCCTATAGTGATGATATTAATAAATCGTATAGTTAATTAACATTGTTCATATATTTCAATTTCAAAGAATTTCTATGCAATACATATAATAATATATATATATAAACTAATTTCTTTCTTTTACACTACCATAATTAAACGTTATTTTACCTTTTTTTTGCGCAACAAACGAGATTTTGTCAATGTAGTGATTGTTAATTACTTGCAACTCAGTAGGTAAATTATAATGTGAAGGTCAAATGATTCAAAATGATTCAACTGATATTATAATAGTATGGCACGAAAACTTCAAGTTTACTTAGAGCACTTGACCTGCTTTAAAGATGAGATAATCTATCCGGGCTTTTGAAAAAAGTATTGTAACACATATAAAAAAAATCCTTAACCAATTGTGTAACGATCTACAAAATCAGGGCACTCGGGACGTTCCTACCTCGATAATTTCTGTGATTTGCAGATCCTAAATTCGGGTCAAAATTTTTAACTTTAGGCAATCAGTAAAAATCAAAACAACAATTACCCGTGAATACATTTCGATTTTATAAAAAACATTTATTAATCATTGGAATTAAAAACAAGTTCACAAATCAAGAACATAAATACTTATACACTTTCACTTCGCTTTTTTTTACTGTCTTCTTCGCACGTTATTTTGTTTACATTTTGTTGTTTTCATACTTCACTGTAGGTGGTTTTTACATCTTTTTTTGTTCAGTTTTAATTTATTTGTTTTTATTTAGTTTCATTTTCATATATGATAACCGCGTTTTTTAAAAAGTATTTTTACTGGAAACGACGAGACGACAACCACCTACTAGAAAAGAAAAGCCAGTATTTCAGTGTTATTGTGAAGGATGCTGAAGTATATTGTGAAACCGGAAGATATCAAATGGCCTTAAAGATAAAAGCCAACGCGTCGTTGCTTATTTTAATAAGAAAATAAAAAACGAAATATCGTTTTCTCAAATGGAATACATTTATGATCGGAAACGGTATTTCGGATCCAAAGGGGTAAATATAAAATAAGGGAAGGAAATAAAAGAATATTAAATAAATACGTGTAAATAGCTTTAATTGGTTTTAATAAATAATAAGTGTAAAGTCGCATTTGTAAACGACGAATTTAGTATTATAAATAAAGGCCGAAATGGCCCTTAGGAGCAGCATGCTTCGTTTGCTTTATTAAATAATAAGTCCCAATACCTTACATTGTACATAATAAACACTAACACTATTACCGTTACAAACCTGTAAACCCCCATAATTACTGTTGTTAATTCGAGTTCTTTATCACGTGACTTACCCTGCTTGTCTTCGTTGACCCAAAGTAACCGAAACCCTTAATCACTCACCAGCCAAATCTAACACCTTTCGTAAAGGTTACTTATCGTACGTTACACGGGATTTTGGATTGTGGAGCGACCGAGTCGCAGTTATCCGAAACCAACAATATCTAGCGAAAACATAAGGTTTTTATCGCTCATTAAGGTCTACTAATTTCAGAGAAAATTCGGTTAGAAATCTTTCTTAATGGTGTTGACGAAAGCGATATTGGTGGCGTACTAAAGGGCTATATAATATTTAACATACTTGATTATTATTTATTTAGTCTTTTTTTATTATTAATAAATTACCGGTGATTTCTATGACGATATACGGTTACAGCCAGTGTTATAAATTCAAAAAATTTTTATTAGTGCAAACGCAAAAAAAATGTGCAAAAAAAAAATAAAAATACGCGCGCTATATATACGGAGAGTGCTGATATGCCTACTGCGCAAACCCGATTTACATTACTGGTTACAGCAAATGATTTAAACCATTCTGTTTTAAATTAGTTTTATATTGCTTTAAAATGATCTTTTACATGTTTTAAAGCATCATCAGTGATATTGATATCATGATTAATAATAATGATATGGTTATTGTCATGATTATAAATTCGAATCTTTTTGTAATTTTTGACTTTTATAGCGCAAGCTGATGGCATATTTCGATTAAGAAATAAAAAAAATTCATGGCGACAGTGGAGTCGAAATTAACCAATTAGATACGGCGTTCTCACAAACCTTAACCAATGGTTTAAAAAGGTGTCGATGAATAAATTTTGTGTAGCGGAAAATATTTGTCATTACGATGAATATTTAAATGATAATTTTAATTTTGGTAAGGTTTATTACGTGAATAAATATTTTCATCAGTAAAAAAAATATTGAGTTTGTCATTTCAATTTACAAACCTTTTACCGCACATTATCTTTTTTTATACCTGGCTTGGTAAAAGTTGCCATTAATTGAATATTCAAAAAAAGATCATTTAAGTAACTTTATCGTTCAAAAAACAATTACAAATGCTTAGCCATTATTTATGACAAATTCAACTATTTTGCCGATAATTTCTTCATTTGGTACAACAACCGAATATTAACGAAGTGACGACGACATCTGAATCGCTCAAGTATCAATTGCAATCCTTATTTTGATTGATGATAATAAATGAGCACCGTCACGTTTATATAGTTGTGCATCCATTCAAAAAAATCCATTAGATTATATTTTGGATATCTGGCTTATCGGATAAGATAGTCAGATATTCGTTTAATTATCCAATATTTATTTCCACCATGTTTTTTTTTACTTAAGCTATATAAACAAACATATTGTCATGATAAATTGCGGCAAATGGTGGAAATAGATATTCCCTAAAATAATTCCAAGCTTCAACTCATACAGGGGGATCCCCAAAATTCCGGGTCGAAACCATCGGATTTAGCCCGGCATTTAGTTAGCATTTAGTAATACAAGTTAACCATTTCTGGGCCAAAATTATCAGCTGGGCAGCTTTACTTAATGAGTGAGCTATGGTTTCATTAGCAAAACTTTTAGTGATCTTGGGCAAAATTAGTTAATTCCGGCCCTGCCGATCATGATTCCGAAGTATTCCGACCCGGAATTTTGGGGATCCCCTGTATGAGTTCAAACTTCTGGAATCAGTCGGAGATAGGAAGATATTAATCCTAATATTTACGGCAAAAAATTATCAACAAAGTTCTAGCTCCGATGCGTTCCGACCCAGAATTTTGGAATTGCCCTGTAAAAAGATAGATGATAACTCAACTATAATGTCCCATAATTGTGCTCTAACTAGACTCAAGCATGTAAAGTTGGATATGACCTAAATGTCTAAGACCCTATTCTGTACCTTATTAAGATATCGTTTAGAAAATTATGTTACTAGGAGCGCATGAACATTGAAATACGTGAACTCATAATTAAAATAACATTTTCTAACAGGACTTTTGTTTTATTATTCCACAAACACTAAAATATTCGATTTAGTAATTAATGGGAAAGCTTTACTACGTATAAGTCGTATTGCAAGAAATATCTACATATATTAATTTATAATTTGAAGTATATATGTATATATAGATATACTTATATATATGTTGCACAGTATGGCGAGTTAATGTGGACCTTAACGCATGACCTTATCGCCCGAATATATACGTATTGATATCTTTTGACATCCACCAGTAAATATCATATTATAATCTAGATCATGTATGATTATTGTTAAACAAACGTTAAAATTTGCCATTTAAAGTTCACGATCGAAGTATTTAACAACCTTAATGAATAAAGTATCCGGAACGAATTTATGATATACTATTATTCTATATGGTTATTACTAAATTTTGAGATTAAGGAAGTAATGTTATTTTTATTTATACAATAGAAACGATATCATAAATGATGGCGATTACATCAATGTAATAAATAATTTAAATACTTTACCACATTAAAGTATATTGACTCATCTTCCATATTAACTTTTCAGGTTCGATCAATTAAACGAGAATGTGTACCGCCATTTTAAGCATAAACAGGACTAACCGGACTCTTATCTAATAAATTAAAGTTAGTAACAAGTAGTATGTATATAAGCACTGGTTTTGAGTTTTTTTTTTTTTTTTTTTTTTGCTGATACTTTATTCAAACTAAAAAAAAAAAAATATTTAAAGACCCACAATTATCGCCAGCATCAACTAATGTTAAATAACAATTTTAAACGAAAAATTTCTATTTGATTTTAATCATTTTACTCGAGACTTACCAATATAAAACTTGAACAAAAGAAAATAAATGTTTAAAATTTGAAATCTTTGTATTTCTTAGATGTTGAACTCCCACCAGAACCTGCATCTCGTGCAGCAGCCTTCGCATCCGCCAATTTTTGCCTCTTTTTTGCTTGCTTGCTAGCATGTTCAGCAACCAAATCTGAAAAGTCTTCACGTGAACCTTCCGGTTGATTCGCCTAAAATACAATATTAAGTTACATGTCAAAAAAATGCAAATATAGTTTTTTAAATATAATTTTATAAATGATTTAAACCTGCTGAGCTTCTTCAAATATGGCTCTTAATGTTTCTTCATCTAGGTTCGCCATTTCTGCAGGATCGAGCGCTACATCGATACCGGTTCCAACAACTTTTCGCTATAAAATATATAAACATGATGGAAAATTAAATTTATACATTCAAGTTTATTTTAAAGATTTATATAGAAATCTATTACCTTTGCACCTTTAACACCTCCAGCTGTTGAAGTTGAAGATAAATCGTAGGCATGCTGTGATCCCATAAAGCCAGAAATAGACGTTTCCTTTTGTGGGAGTACGGTATATAAAGGCTTTGGTTCATCTTCATCAGGTCTAATTTAAGGTCAAACATCACACAATCAATCAATCATTCGGAAATTAAAAGTTTAGTATTAGTATTAATAAAATAGAATCATACTTTGAATATTTCCTTAATTCAATAATATCTGGTGTCTCCAATCCGCTAGGCAGTATAGAAGACTGTTGTGATGCTGTGCTAGCTTGGTATTTCCTTAATTCTATATACTCTGGTGTTTCCAAACCACTTGGTACACTTGATATTCCACTTGGCGTGGCAAGACCTTCTTGTAATGCTTTTGTTGAAGCACTTTCATCTTCTCCAACTTCTTCTTCCTCTTCAGCTTCTTCTTCTTCTTCTGATTCTAATATTTATTTGTTTATACGGATCAATTAAATTGTGTGATTTATGAATTTGCACCTAATTTATCAAATAGTTTATGGCTTACCACCTTCTTCTGCTTCTAATTCACCCCATAATGACCGCTCAATGGGCTGTACAATCTACAATTCAAAGTTTTTAGTTACAAAATGTATCTACATATGCAATAATAAACAATACATAAGAATGAAAAAAAAGAACCCACATCTGAGGGGATTTCTTGTTGATATGTTCCAAAAACATCACCGTACAGTGGACGATTATACTGTAAATATACATTTATGCGTTAAAATCATCATGTGATCAGTTCATCATTTAGTCAAAGTTATAAAAATATTTACCTCATCTACCGGAGGTTTACCCCATCCGCCAGGATGAAATCCCCATTGGGCACTGATATTGTATTAAATAATTATGAAATATTAAATTTAAATTAATATATCTTATACAATATGATTACAAATATTTCAAAACATACCCTTCCGGAATAGGAGCGTTCAATCCTGGAATTTTTAAATTAGGATAACTAGGTGGTGGACCATATCTCTGCATCGCTATTAGCCATGGAGGAGGCGCAAGAGGAGGCATGTTCAAGGCAGCTTTCAATTCTTCTGAAAGTTGACCTGGTTTTTTTTCTTTAAGTTTAGTCTCGAATTCTTTTCCTTCGTAGTACCTTGTAAAATAATTATAAATAAATAATGAGTATATATCCACACATATACTTAACAGATGTTTAACAAATGTTTCAAATGAAAATCAATAATTGAAAGTCAATAATTTAAAATCAAGTTTGAATGCTCACAGTTCTCCATGAATTGTCAATTTAGGTTTTGATTGAAATCTGAAAAACGCATCGTGTAATTTTTGATAATCAATGTCTAACTTGCCCATTTTTGGTTGGACACGCTCACGAGTTTTTTGTTTCAATTTTGCAGCATCTTCTTTCTCTTTAACTGCTTCACGCATTTCCATGATACCAGTATCTTTGATAAAATCTGAAAAAAAATTTTAAAAATAAAAAATTAAAGATAAATCTATATATAGAAAATTTTAATGTATTATTAAAAAGGATTACCAGGTAGATCGAAAGCTGGTTTCTCAATTCCTCTCTTCCCTTGAAGATATTTTCTTTTTTGAGACCAATGCTGAGGAACGGGTACTGTATTCCTATATGCTTTGAGACTAACTAGAAGCTTTGGATCTGCGGCTGTTACATCAACCCACTTTTTATAAGTTAATATTTGATTAGTATATTAAAATATACATAAAAGGAGAAAAATCAGTAATAGATTATTACCTCAACAACTTCTGGTCTCTTAACCAATTGTTTTAACTGAGCGACACTTAATCGGTTCATTTTTTTTAGCTTCTTCTTTGATACTTTATCTTGTCTGTCCTCATCTTCGGACTCATTTTCAGTATCGTCGTCAGAATCTTTCATTCTAGATTCATTCTGAGTCTTCAAAGTTTCATTCTTTTCTTCCTTAATTTCAGATTTTACCTATCCATCAATAATCCATAGAATTTAGTGAATGTGCTCTTTTCATAAATTATGACCACAAAAATTAAATATAAATTTTTTTAGTTCTTTTATATGAGAATCTTAATGACCGAGATAAACGATACCTCAGTTTCGTCTTTGGTGATCTGAAAATGGGCAAAAACCTTTGAGAATTCTTCACAGTAAGGATCGTTAGTTACATCCAGAGGTTGTAATACGTACTCAATTTCCACAATTTCTGAATCATCAGTTTCTTGAGACTTGAATTGATAAAAAATAGGTATTGGCCCAACGTGAAGAATCCGTCAAAAGAACATAAAAAACATATAAGACATTTTTTTTAGACGTTAAAATAGGTATAGGAAAGACAATGTACATTTGTACGCACCTTTCCGTTCTCATTGTTGTTTGACACGCTTTTGGCTTTATTCGTGACTCCGATTGCTAGTGAATCGGGTTTCTTTTTTTTCCTACGCTTATTTTTAACGTGTGGCTTTTTTGATAATTTCTGATTAAGCTCGTCGCCTGTTACACCAGGCTTCGAATTGACTACCTCTTCAGCTTCGATCTTCTTTTCAGCGGCCATTTCATAAAGTACTCGAAAAGTTGAATAATAAACTTTAAAAAAAAAAAAGCAAGGCTATTTATATAAGTGCATATTAATCATGTGATAGAACGTAACACAGACAATATTTGAATTCACATCTCATAATTTCATAATTAATAGTTTTAATTTATAATGGCGACACTTGTCAAAGACAACACTAGTAAGACGACTATCTATGTTGGTACGAAATGTGAAAAGGCATTAGTTTAAGAATGTAAGAAGACGGAATGATTTCGAAAATGTATTTCACTTCTTTACTCGCAGGAGGTCTTGATGATCAAGTTAACGAGCAAATCCTACACGCAGCATTTATTCCATTTGGAGATATTGTTGAAATTCAGATACCACCGGATCCTGCTTCTCGTGAGCTTTAAAACATTTTGAACGAATAATGTCCTTTAAAGTATTACACAAAGTTTTGTAATTAAACTTTGATGTGTTCACAAAAGACAATCAGCATCGTGGCTTTGGTTTTATAGAATTCGAAGAAGCTGCTGACGCTCAAGCTGCAATTGATAATATGAATTTATCAGAACTTTACGGTAAGGTTATTAAGGTTAATTTGGCCAGGCCTATGAGAGTTAAAGAAGGAAGTATGCGAGCTGGTAAGTTTTTTTTACTACTGGTTTTTTTTTTTTTGTTGAAAGATTTTAAATTTTTCGGTTATCGATGTTTAGTATGGTCTGAGGACGCATGGTTACAAAAATATGCCCTTAAATCCGCTGATCCGAATGTTCCTTATGAATCTAATGAAAATTTTGAAACTAATGAAACTAATGAAACCAATGAAACCAATGAAACTAATGAGGACAATGATACTTCAACTAATTCATAATAGTTTTAGGGTATAGTAAATTAGAGACGAAGCTGTGAATTTTTGTTGATTAAGAGACTATTTTAATTCAAAGATGATATAAATGAGCTGTTTATATAGCATCCAATAAAAGCGTCATTTAAACAATTTGTTGCTTGCAGACAATAATCCAATATAGTCGTTCTTCGTTAATATCAACCTCACAAGATCAGGCATCCTGATTAGTGACGCAGAAGAATCGTCCCAATGATTGTCGTAACTTTAGTAATATAGAAAGCTACGGCTATAATGTCGTAACTTTCTATATTGCTATAGTTGCGGTAAGTTACAGCAAGTTACGACAATCATTGGGACGATTCTTCTGCATCACTAATTCTGATTGATATATGGAATCGCTAAAGCAGGGTAATGTATCAAATTTACTCCGTTTTAGTGGTGATATTGTTTTAATGGAAAATAATATTAATATTATCAGGATACATTGTACATTGACATAAGATTTGTTTTCACATTTAGTTTATTAAGCATACTCGTAGTGAAAAACTTGTTATTATTGATAAAATATATACCGTACTATTTTAAAAATGCTAATGATGCTGTTTGATCGGCCATAACATCCAATTCCATTTGTAACCCCCTCGTATTTCCTTCGGTTTGCCGTCATTTAATACTTTACCTGACATAAATACGCTAATTAGTAATTAGTAATAAAATAGACGAAATGCTCCCTTACGTACCATCCCAGACCTTAATACCGAATGCCTTTCCGTGTGTTATATCCTATTGTTATTTTTTTTTTTAAAAAAAAAAATGGCTGCTTAAAAGGTTAAAAAGTGGTGAAATAAACCATTATCATTTACCTTCATTTTTAGTGATACTTTTGTAATTTCGTAATAGCTGTTAGTGATTCCTTTGTTGACCCAATGATCTGGTGCCTTTATTAATAGTTTTTTTTTTTTTTTTTAGAGACCTTTGTGACTTGCATATTCGGTGAAGAAAATCGATTTAATACCACTTTTAGACCAACACCATAACTTGGATAAACATTTAATAATTTATATAAATTCTTCTTGGGTGATTGTGCGTCACGAACGGTAGGTAAAATATCTTTTCCATTTAACAATAATCTCTTTGCTACGTTTGCCATCAATATTATTTAACGGATAAACCAAGCCTATTTTAAAATCACTTGATTGGCTATAATCTTTAAATTTCATTGGTTATTTATAATAAGTACGTTACATCCAGTGTTGGCACTGGACATATGTCCAACTATTTTTAATACCCTTGGACTGGACTTGGACATTGGACATATACCTGGACATAGTTCAGGTCCAATATGTCCAATTACTTATTCATAAATTAGATAATTAAAAAATCTGTTGTCTTTATAGATTGCCAATATTATCTAATAATACATAAAAAAATAAATATCTATTTTACTATTTATTTTTAAACATTTGCCTGTTTTTCATATTTAAAATAAATAGTCTGGTTTGCTTTTCGAACCAGACTCAAACTTTTATTTTCAAACCTTTTTAGTCAAGTTTTAGTTTGGTTTAGGTTTAGGCAAAAAGTTGCAAACTAGTTTGAGTCCAAATATATATGTATTTTTTTGTGCTAAATAAGTTTACTTAGTGCATTAAGTTAGAATTGATTAGTAAACTTTGATAATCATAAGATTTTATTAATAAAGTTTTATAAAATCTTATGAATATCAGAATTTTATTAAATAATTCTAACTTCATGCACTAAATAAACTTGTTTAGCACTTAAACATATACTAAATTAGTAAAGTTGGTTTATTTTTTTTTTTGGTATTAAGATGATCTTTTTTGGTCCTAATTTTTTATTAATACTTATAGCAGACATACTGTATGTACATATAGACATATTTATATTGAACTATTAGACGAGTGTACAACTAGCTATATGTGTAATTTTTTATATTACTTATTTAAAAAGTCTGCTCAAAGGTTTTTTACCAATTGTTGTATATAACATCCTGTTTAGATGTTTTATTTAAACCCTCTGATCTGGTTTTAGTATTAACTTTATCAAGTCATAAACTCAAATCTTTTTACTATTAAATTTTAAGACTATAATTCTTAGATTATTTTTATTCTTGAGATAAACTTATCAAAGTGAGCTATATTTTCTTTTACTGCTAACTTGGTTTGGTGTTATAACTAAGATCAACACTTGCAGTTAGAGTTATCTATTAAACTACTATTACTTTTGTAAAGTTTACCTAAACTCTAATACTTATCTTTTTATACATATTCTTTATCATCTCTTACTAACTACTACTCAGAACTAATAGGGTTTTTCAGACTATTAATTCAGATAATCTAGTATATATAGTATACTTATATATTCTTTTTCTTTAGCAATTCTGATGATCTGATATTTTTTTCACATATTTGTTATCTGATTTATTCGACAATTCCTTTGGGGATGTTTTATGAACTTTTGACAGATCAACAGTATTATCAAAAGTTTGTATTATCTCTTTACATAAGATTTTTAAATAGACTTCTGTCTTTTTAATTTCTTAGTTTTCTATCTTCAATAATCTTATCATAGGTTTGCACTAAAGCCTTATATGATATTGGTTTTTCATATTCCTCTATGTATATGTAATATTACACTTTATATAAATTTCTTAAGCTCCTAAAATTAAATAGACTCTAATCTGGTGTATCTAAGATTACAGATATATAAACTCAACTGATTGACAAAAAACAGTTATTATAATACAGATATAATTTTCAAAATTCGTTATCTGTAAGAATTGAACCTTAGACCTGTTACTTGAAGTTGACAACCTATTTATTTTACTAGGTTGTTATACCTTAAAGTTGTTTTATCTTACTTAAAATTTGAAGAAAAATATTTAAATTTGATTTTTTTTAATTAAAAGCTTCAAAATTAAATATTTTTAAATTTTAAATAAAATAAAAATAACTCTATTAATTTAGATTTTAAACAGATTTATTTTGTGCATTAAGTTAGAATTAATTAATAAACAATTTTGATATTTATAATATTTTAATTAATAAAATTATATAAGGTCTTATGATTCTTAAAATTTTATTAATTAATCCTAACTTAATATACTAAATAAATTTGTTTAGCATTTAAATATATAGTCAGACCTTGTTATGGCTATTCTTAATATAGTTATAACCTTGATATAGTCACTTTGTTTTTTGTTTCTAACTTATATAAAACATATAAATTTTGATCTTCATATAGTCACAACTTTTAAGAATTACCAATTTTTTGTTTCTTAACCTGATAATTATATCAAGGGCTGACTGTATATTAAACTGATAGAGTTGTTTTTATTTTACTTAAAATTGGATTTTTAATCAAAAAAACTAAAATTAATTATTTTTTCTTTAAATTTTAAGTAAAATAAAAACAAATCTACTAATTTAGTATTTTTTGATGCTAAACAAGTTATTTAGTATATAAAGTTAAAATTAATTAATAAAATTCTAAGATTTATAAGATTTAGTAAAATTTTATTAATAATAAAATTTATAAAATCTTATAAATTCAAAAAATTTACTAATTAATTCTAACTTTATATATTAAATAAAATATGTTTTTAGTATCATCAAGAAAGTTATATATATAGATATATATCGATTACTAACCAACCAGATATATAGCGATAGTAATCACCTCTGCTGAGTTTCATTGATTTCGATTATAATCACTATATAGCCAATTAATATACATATCGATTTATATCGTTTTCGATATTAATTAATATATAGCTGAAATAAGCAGTTAATGTTGAATTAAAATAATATTATATCAATTAAATAAATGCACTATTGTATATATTATATACTATACATTGAATTTATTTTAGAATCCAAACTATCAAATTTATTAAA